CCTGAGCCCACACCTTTAACCTGCTTACTCCGCCCGATGAAAAAAGTCAGCTCCTATTTCCTGTTTTTGAAGCAATGACGTTCGTATCCCGGCACCCGCCTTTTCCTAACCTGCACAGCCCCGAAAATCGGCCACAGTGGTTAAAGGTCCCCAAAGGACAATGCTGGATGTCACCCCAAGGTACCAAAATACCTATTTGGCAGCCATGCACCAAACTCAGAGCCCAAGTTTCCCGTCTCTGCTCTCTGAACACCCCTGCTCGGCACGCAGGGGCAGCTGAGGTGGGTTTTTAAGGCAGATGAGCTTCTCCTCGCTCAGAAGGATCTCCCTAAACCTTGGCCACCCTTTCGTGGGCTTTCAAAACCCTCGTGGCTGGGAATATTGTCTCAGCTTCATGTGCAGCGCTAGATTCTGCCCCTCTCACCCGGCCAGGATGAGAATAGCTCCGAGAGGACCCCAGAACGGATGGAGGCAACACTGACGGCTGCGATGTGCTGCTCAACCCCTCCTCAACCCTCTTGCCTCCACAACCAGATGGAGAAACCGCAGTGATTCAGGCAAAAAACGGGGACCGTGAGGGCACTGGCGAGGACTCGGTCTGTGCTCAGCTGTGCCGGTCACGTGCCAGCAGCCGCTCGGCAGTGGAGAAGCTGCAAGTCAGGTTCGAGCCGAGTTCACCCCGTATCTCTACAGAGGACGAGCAAATCATCTCCACATGGGCAAAAGGAGAGTGTGGAGGAGAGGGGGAAGGCTGCCAGCGCAAGGCTGCGGTTCAGATCCCTCCTGACAGCTCCCCGGCAGCCCCCACATCGCCTGTCATTCCACAAAACAAACTTCAAAGTAAACAAGGCGCCCAGGACCGGGCCGTTGCAGCCACTCTATCATCGTTCAGGAGTATTTTTCCTTCCTTCCCCCCTCCCCTCCTCCTGAGCCATTGCATCTACACGAGCTGCCCGGAGCTGGATTTACAGGGCAGGTGCCTGAGCAAAGCGCAGGAGAGCTGGCTGGGCCCCAGGCAAGAGGGGAAGAGGAGAGTTTCACAAAAGCCTTCAGATTGTGGTTTTATATGATAGGGACTGCAGAACAACATCCATCTTCAGGCTTAACATTTCATCTCTAGATCAACAGTCCGTTCCTTCCCCCACGTTCAGCTGCAGCTGCTGGCTTATCTCTCCATTAAAGCATTTTCCTCTTATTGCACAGTTTCACATGAGAAGGAATAAATGCCAGATGGGTCTCCCCTTCAGGTCACCACGCTGCAAGCCCTGGTCTACGCCGCAGCCCAGGGCGACACTGGATTCTGGAGCCTGGGATTCATCGCTGGCCAAAACCACGAACTTTGGAAAGTCAAGGCCAAGAATGAGTCCTCTGGGGGACGAGATTTCCAAACAGGAGGACTGAGAGTTTGCCTCCCTGGAAATTCCCATGCTGGAAGCACAAAGGTGCTGAGCAGAGACGCCTTCAAAAGTGCCCTGAAGCACCAACGTTCAAAAGCGCTTAAGGAGTTGGAGACCCTAAGGGGTGGTTGGAAACTGGCTGAGGTAGAGAAGCTGGATGGAGCAGACCGTGCCAGGGGGCTGCAGCCCTGCAGCTGCACCCGAGTGCCGCACGGCGTTAGGAAAACCAGCGCAGCCACGCATTCCTGCCCCAAAATCACAGCAGAAAAGCAACGTTGGTGCCTGAGGTCTCTCCACGTGGAAATGCCGTCACTGGCCTCAGGTCAGGCCCCCGACTGCCTGGAGGAGGAGATGCTGCTCCTTACAGACCGGTCTTGCAAACATGTTTTTATCTGGTTATTCCTAACCACAGTGGATAAACCCACTCCAGTGCCTGGCTCCTGTCTACCTGCCACGCAGCCAAAGCCACGACCTTACGGAGTCCGACCTCCCTTGGGCCAAAGCATCCTGGGACCCTCACCCTTCGCCGGGACGGTGTGGGTGCTACTGTGCTTGTGCAAGCTGTCCTTCCTCTCCACGGCAAGCTGTGGCTGTGCCTACCCAGCTCCTTGTCCCTGCCTCTCCCAGCCACCCCGGGGAAGTGGGCAAGCCCCCATATTTTTATTACCATTCCCATCGCTGCCAAGCGCTTGCGTCAGTGGCTGGGAGGAGGCTGCGCCCTCCTTTATGAAGCACAGGGAAGATAAGATTGAACTGTTTGGTCTTTAAGAGGATGCTGCCAAACTTCAGGGAATTGATGGAGCATCTTCCTGGCAGCATCCTTGGATGTTTGTGTGTCCCATCACCAGCTCTCCCCAGCAGCACCAGCTGCAGGAGGTCACAACGAGACACAAGTTTTCTGGGCAGCAGCACTGTCCCCCCGCTATTATTTCAGTGGAACTCTCGATACAGGAGAGATGAGCCGGGAGGGAGCGTGTGGGAGCACTTTGTGCTGTGCCCACCGGAGATGCTTATTTGGCAGAGGAGAACCGAGGAGCCACCACCGTCAGCACGAGCCACCAACCCAGCCCGGTCCTTCGCCTGGTGCCACGGCATTAATGGCATCGCCAGCAGCCTTGGTGACAAGTAGTGATGTCAGGGAGCTGCTGAGCTCTGAGGAGGTCCCTATCCCAGGGAGGGAGAAGCTCACAGCGTTTCCTGATGTAGCTGAAGTTTGCCGGAGGTGTCACCGGGGTTATTTAGCTCTCTTGCCAGAGGCAGATGGAAAGGCAGCAGCCTTCAGGCCATCCCCTGCCTTCAAGCCATCCCCTGCCCTGCTGCAAGGTGGATGGAGCCAGCCACCGGTGTGGCAGCAGCTCCGTTTATTTACAGCCACGATTAAAGTGCTCTGTGCCAAGAGATAACCGCCGGCAGGTTCGACCCTGCCCCGGCTCCGTGGAGCGATGCCGCTGGGCTGGCGCATCCAGGCGGGAGGCTGCGGCGTTGGCTCATCCTTCGCTCCCAGGAGCAGGTCCCACACTCCCGTCAGGCTCTTCCAGCTTATCTCTTGTTCCTGAGATGCTGAAGGAAAGGGGGTGGCCAGTGGATGGGCTCTCACCGCTCAGAGCTCAGGGATCAGCCTTTGGGGAAGCGAGTGGCTTGTGCCACATTACACACACCCCAAAAAAAAATCCACCATCTGGGGGTTGTTGGCGCTGCCAGAGGAGGGCCGAACTGAGGACACGAGGCTGTCCTGAGAGGGCAGCCCCTTTCCCTGTCCTCCCGGACTCATTTCCAGCAGCTGCTCTGCTGCAAAATGCTTCCAGGCTGCAAAAAATGGGGGTGCACAAATTGGCTCCCTGAGCTTCCCGGTGCCCCTTGGAAAGGGACGTCACCAGAGTCTGGAGGAAAGTGAAGGGGAAAGGCTCCAATTTCCAACCAGAGTGGGTCAGGGGGAAGGGGAAAGGATCTCCCTGTGACCACAGAGCCAAAGAGTGGCAGAGGGAGGAGATTCTCCACCCCGTGTTCACCTCCTGACAGTGTGAGAAGCGCTCACGGAAGCACCCGAGCAGCTTCGTTAACAGAAGTGCGTTAATCACAGGATCACAGAACCCAGTTTACAACCACAGTTTATGACCACTAAAGGCAAAAAAACCCTTCAGTGCTTTAGTGCTGGGGCAGGGTGCGGCCACTTCGCCAGCTCAGGCGCGGCCGCACTTCGGGGATGTGCTGTGGGAGATGCTGCTCTTGGAGTTTTGCACACAAGGCTGGGTTTGGGATAAATCTAAAAAGCGGATTTTTTTTTTCCCGAGGATTTCACATGCAGCGATGGTTATATTTATCAGATCACACAGCGCCGAGCAGGTGTCTGCTTCCCCCGCGGTCCCACAGCCCCGCCAGGTACCTGCCACGCGTTGGGTTGAGGGCTGTCTCCCTCCACAGCCCCACCACAACCCCGCTTTCACTCACAAAACGCCCTCAGCCCTCCACCTCCGCGGGGCCCTTCCCTGCTCCGCTCCCCCGGACTCGCTAACGCTCAGACGCCTCATTTGACGCACAATTAAAATTACACAAGCAGAGGAGCGTGACAGCCCCGTCTTCTCCTGGAAGCCTCGGCAAGGTGGTCAGAAGCAAATGAGGTTGATGAGAGGATGGTTGTAGGTCCCTTCCAACAAATTATTCTATTCTATTCTATTCTATTCTATTCTATTCTATTCTATTCTATTCTATTCTATTCTATTCTATTCTATTCTATTCTATTC